CCCTCTCTCTCTCTCTCTCTCTCTCTCTCTCTCTCTCTGTGGCTGGAACCTGTACATTCAGGCAGCGAAAGTCTTGAATGTATGGAGACAGTTACGTGTTCAGGATAGAATGTTGTGTAGTGGAGCAACTCTCTCTCTCTCTCTCTCTCACACACACACACACCCTCCCTCTCTCCCCCTCAAATCCTGATTGCTGTATAGCTGTATGAACACAGGCTGATTGCTGTATAGCTGTATGAACACAGGCTGTCCACAGAACTCGCCCATTACCTGGGTGAGAGAGAGAGAGAGAGAGAGAGAGAGAGAGAGAGAGAGAGAGAGAGAGTTGCTTCACTACACGACATTCTATCCTGAACACGTAGCTGTCTCCATACATTCAAGACTTTTGCTGGCTGAATGTACCGGGTCAATAGACAGTCTTAACACATGTAAAATGTTGCGTAGTCAAGGGAGCCCCACAGAGAGAGAGAGAGAGAGAGAGAGAGAGAGAGAGAGAGAGAGAGTATCAAACATAATTGAACATGAAAGTCAACCTCTTGCCACACCACTCTGGAACGTGAGAAAGATAAAAATGTGGCGTGTGCATCTGGCCCTGTTCTAGTGGGAAGTTCATTCTCATTTTGCACATTTCGAGAGTGGTGCGGTGATGCCCCACATGGCAGGGCTGCTTCTCACGTCCAGTGGCTGCACACTTGCAGGAGGTACAACGATCAAAAGAAGCATGGCCGCGAGAACAGACAAACGCGACCTCACCCTTACCTTTAGCTGCCAAAAGCAAAACTTCCTAAGCACAAACCACAAAGCGACTCGCCAAAACGAACGGTTAACCCACGAATGAAAACAAACGACAAATGCAAATGAAAGTGAAACACCAAAGACAACCCCCCCCCCTTAAAAAAAAATAAAAAAATGAAACCTGAGGAAACCCGATGCGTCTTTTCCAATCCGACATCCTCCCCCTATCCGACGGTGCCCGCAGTGAGATATTCCTCTCAATTAACGCCTCGCCTCCCTCTGCATGCAACATGGTGCTCCCACATTTGGTGGCGCGCTGTAAACAATTTAGTGGAGAGCCGCCTCTCAATCTATCTAGACCGCCAGCACCTTCCATCCTACCATCTCTTTTTACTTTGGCACCTCATTCTGGCGCACAGTGGACCATCGACCTTCCCCCTGCAGCCAATGCTGCTTAAAACACGAGTACCTCCGAGCCTGTCTTTGCCGACCCCGAATTTCACTGCGGTCCGAGTTTTGCTGAGCCTGGGTCCCACTCCATTTTCTTTATGGTATTGTCACGGGGAAAAAAAAAAAAGTTGCGGCCGTGAAACTCACAAAACAAGAATAAAAAAAAGGAAACAAAGCTCTGGGTGTGATTGCATTTGTATACATTCTTGGAAGTGGTAGTGTGACTGTGCCGTCGGTGAGGGCATCTCATGCCCGTGGCCAGATTGTCAGATTCCAGAAACACAAAACAAGAGAAAAAAAAAGCTGAAACATGGATTCTGCAGTGAAAATGGCTGGATACATTCGTCTAAGTGCCAGTGTGATCAGGGTTACAGAGATTGAGCAGAGCACGGATTCAGATTGTCAGATTCCAGAAACACACACACACAAAAAAAAAAAACGGACACACGGATTCGGCGGTGGAAATGGCTGGATACATTCCTATAAGTTATAGTGTGATCAGGGTTACAATCCTATGAGGAAACATAGCTTCAGCAGATCACGGATTTTGCCCTGCCTCATTGGCATCCAATTCATAACAAACACACTGGAAAGAAAAAAAAAGAAAACAACAACTTTCAGAATGTGATCGTGTTTGCTGTAAGATGCATTCTGTAGAGGAAGACTGTGAGCACAACCTGCTAGACATCATTGCAGGACAGAAATCATTTTTTTTTCCTGCTTTTCCTTTCACGCACGGGCAAAAGAAAACTAAGATTTATGGGATTTGCCGACCCTGCGTCCCACCCCCAACTTCTTTAGGAACAGGCTAAAACTCGTAATTTCCCAACATTGGTAGAGGTACTAGTGGTTTAAGGGGTAGGATTACCCGACATATTGTCAAATATATTGAACATACATTATAATGGTAATATTATTATTATAATAGAATAGAATATCGTAAAATATAAGGGAATTCATGAAATATCCCTGGAAGTTCATTCATGTGCTGAAATACCCCGAAAAGATGTGGGTAGAGCTTATAAGAAACACGCTTCGACAGATACCCCTGTCAAAGGTTTGTGAAATGCCCTTTTTTTGGATTTAAGTCTTTGCGTTATGCCCTTTTTTTGGATTTAACTCTTTGCGTTATGCCCTTGTCAAGAGGCCTGCCGAATTTGTGCTATACCCCTATCAGCGGCAGAATGCATCAATGCACCCCTCTTTTGATAATAGGAAGAAGAAGAAGAATTGATAAAAATTGAATTGATAAAGCGAGGCCAATCGCTATGCGTCCATGTCTCAATGATGTACATTAGAGCACCTGCACGGACTAACAACTCAACGCGCACATTCCCCGACGCGTTTCGCCTGGCTGCGCACCAGGGCTTATCAAGGGGCTACCCACTCTCCCGCATCCACCGTAACGTTCCACCTTGAGCAAAGAGGGCCTTCCTGGCCTTGCCCTCCTCAGATATAGCCTGCGCAGACTTCACGTCTGCAACTTACTGGGTGGGTGCTTACCTGACTCACTCGTAACTGACCTGGCGTGCACGTCCGCACGTCCCGTCTTCCCACCTCCTCACGGTGCGTCTTTGCCTACGCCAAGTTTCCAAAAAGCACGTGTACCGGTCGGCAGTAGGGGCTTACAGTACTACTCAGGCATTTTCACCCGCTGTACCAGGCCAGTCTTCTGTACTATGTGCTTGCTGGTCTGGCAACCCACCCGTTTTTTCCGGTTCCGGCCCTATCGGCCACCGCGTCTCTCGTCTAGTACCTGCCTATGCTATCTTCCTACAGTACGGGCATTTCACTATTTCTCCCAGTACCCAGACTCGTCATTCCCGCCCTCTGTCCAGCTGTAACAGCCTCGTGCTACTGCTGGTGCCTAAGCTCGATCCCTCCGGATTATCTCTATTGGTCCTCGTGGTCCACATCGCTCGAGCCCAGGATTTTCCCTTACTTTCTAGTGTACACCCCAGATTCTCCGGGCCCTGCTACTTCCCTTGACGCTTACGGAGCTACTCTGCCTGTCCCCTCTGCTAATTAATATACACCCCGGTTTGCCCGGGCCCTGTATCCTTCCCTTCTCCAGTGCACAACTACTCGTACCTCTACCCTCCCTACCTTCACGCTCATATCGTACACCCTGGCACTAGGCACTCTGTCCTCCCACGTTCCTGTCTCCTTGCTTCGTTGTAGGCTCCTTCCTCTCACGTTCGCATGCCTGCTCCCTTCGATCTTCCTATTAGTATTCTAACCGGCTGCTCGGTCAGCGTCTTCAGCGCTGCTCTGAACTGGCCGGTGGCTCTGGCAAACACCGCCAGAGCATTGGAAAAGAGCGCCGGGGGATACCCCCGGCGCCCCAGCTCCACGCTAACAGATAGCGCCGCTTGGTCCCCCGTTGCTGGATTGCTCGCATGCTGTTTGATCCTGTGCAGTGCAGCTATCACCATACCCGCCTTCGCTCGCTTATCCGAGTACGATGCAAAATCCTGGAAGCACCTGAAGGTTAGCGGGTCTTCCAGCCCAGCCTCCTCGTTCTTATGCTGGGGGCGGACGACAAACTTGATCGGCCCTGGCAAAGCAGCAACCCTGATCCCCAGAAAATCCCAGGAGTTGGTGCCATCATCTGTCCTTACCAGCATAAGCTGCTCCCCGTACGCCTTCATGAATTTCAGACAGATGTACCTTGCTGCCAATACACTCCGATGGTCACTCACATCACATGCGACACCCAACGTAACATCATCTACCAACCTGACCCCGTGCACCAGTCTTTGATCAGCCCCTAGTGAGCTAACAAAGTCCACCTCATGTTTTGCACACAGTACACACGCGAGTGATGGGCTTGAATTCTTCCCCATCGGGATGCCCACAACCTGCTTGAGAATCATTTTCCTACACATAACGTACGTATTCTCCAATTCGTAGCTAATCATCTGCAGGATCTGAGAGAATTTGACTGTTACATAGCCCGGCCCCGGGCTCTTCCTACTAAGAGTTACCACTCGACCTCTTCTGCTCAAGCTCAGCTTATACACTCCTCTCGACTCCCACTGTTGCAGCAACCAATCGACAGCACGCTGAATCGCCACGTGTGGCAGCGAGGTGAACATCTCTTTGATGTCGTAGCTGGCCATCAGGGCCATAGACCTATCACCAAATACACTCAACCTTTTTCCCGCCATCTGCAAGTTCTGTTTCAACATCGCCGTAGCTTTTAGGTTGAAATGCTTGGCTTGGGGAACCTTCTCAAGCAGGAAATTCAGTACACGCGCTAGCCTTCTCCCCGCAGTCTTGGACCCTTCCATACAAGCCGGCGCTATTGGCCTCCACCTCGTCAGGTCTTTATGCTTCGGCATCACATAAGCTTGCCCTAGCCTGGCTGCTGGGTTCCAGGCCCCTACCTTATCAAGGGCTTGTTTCTTATACTCCATCCTCACTTGCTTCAGCACATCTTTCTCGGATAACTCATATACTTGCTGGTAGGCGACATTCAAGTTGAACATTATCTGAAGACCATGATGGTACGTTGACGGGCACATGACCACTAGATCCCCCGGGTTCCTGTCAACGGAGACAACTACGAGATGGCTCAACTTTGCTGCTACCTCCCTCGCTTGCTCCTCCGAGCATGCTGGTCTTTTTACCGCTCGGTCTGATACCATCTCCTGGAACAAACTTGGGTCAGCTACCCAGAGCAGATCCCTCCTCATGATTGCTTCCAAGGACTTTCCGACAGCTCGCTGCACTTCCGTTGGTCTTGTACCGGCCTCGCTCTGCATAACATTTTTCCCGTTGTGCAGGAACGGAGGAACCGTCGGACACTGTGCTACCCTTGCTAACACATGTCCATCCACTCTTGGCAGCTCATCCTGGCCGCAAGTACACACCGCCGTGGCTTCCCTAGCTACCTTCCGATGATTTGCTCATACCTGTTCAACCGTGCTGTGCTTCTTCCACACCACTCTCACTCGGCGTCGCAGCACCGGATGAACTCTACTCTTCTCCACGCATAGTACCACCGTGTCATGTAACTTCCTCTTTCTCAGTTGGTGGCTATATTTCACCCCCACATTAACCTTCAATCTGATATTCACCCCGGTCTTCTTCCTGATCACCGCCGCTATCTTCTCCTTCAACGTTCTCCTCGTAGTCTTCGTCTTGAATTCCCTGGCGCACCTGTATAAGAAGACCAGCTTCGTGACATCGAAATACTTCAGCTCCGCTTGCTTCTCAGTAACAGCCTGAGATATCCTTTCCCTCTGCTTCTCGCACTCTCAGTTTTTACCACCGGCCGGACTATGAATTCGCCTCCCCGTTCTAGGAGTTGCTTGGCTCTTCCTAGTGATAGCGTCATTCCATCCACAACAACAGTTGACGTACCGTACCTCCTCCTAGTAAGAAGAAGAAGAAGAAGAAGAAGAAAAAAGAAGAAGAAGAAGAAGAAGAAGAAGAAGAATTGTGATAATCAAAGGCCATAATAGACCGTCGTTCATGGCCATATATTAAACTGGCTATCGTGTACACTTGCGTCACAAATGTTCAGATCCATCGACATGCATTGAGCTCAAAAGAAAGGTGCTTGTTGCCCTATGCAAGAAGAAGAAGAAGAAGAAAGTTTATGGGTCTCCCCTCCCCCCCCCCCCCAAAAAAAAAAAAAAAAAAAAACGGAGAAGAATAGAATAGAGAGTAGCGACGCCAATCGCTACCTTCTTCCCCTGAATACAATCGTGCGGTTATTGTATTTGTATTTGGGGTATCTTTCAGTCTAAATGCAGATATAATGACCGTATGTTGTATTCGAAGGAAGAAAGAACTCGTGCAAGCAAGCAATAATGGGTTCATTGTAACGACCCTGACACAGTGACATTGACCTACTCACTCACTCCTCTTCTCCCTCCTCCTCCTCCTCTTCCTCCTCGTCATCCTCCTCTTCCTCCTCCTTGTCCTCTTCTGAGGGAATGGGGTGAAGAAGTTGTATTTGGACATGACAAAGCTCAAAAGCGGTTGAAGAGCCCAATCGCTAAGTGTACTCCCTCCTCCTCTTCTGAGCGATTGGTGGGAAGAAGTCGTATTCAGCCATGACAAACCTCGGAAGAGGAAGACGAAGGAAAACCCGATCGCTCAACGTCATTGCATCATTGTGTCTTCGTGGACGAAGACGAAGAAGAAAAGGAAGAAGAGGAGGAGGAGGAGGAGGAGGAGTGAGTGAGTGGGTCAATGCCATTGCAATGAACCCATTGTTGATTGCTTGCATGTGTTCCTTCTTCCCCCGATTACAACGTACGGTCATTATATTTGTATTCAGACTAGAAGACACCCCAAATACTGAGATAATAACCCTAAGGATTATGTTGGGGGATCTGCAAGGAGGGAAAGCGCTTTGACATCAGGGGGATTGAAAAAAACAGCAGGATTATACAAAAGAAGAAAAGAAAAACAAACGAACGAGCGAAATTTGATGTCGACGAAGATGAATCGCTCTTCTGCAAGATGGGATGGACGGTTGGATGTCGATTGTTGGATGGATGAGCGCAATGATTGCAAATGGATGTTTGCAATATTGCAATGAATGATTGGATGCAGATGATTGGATGTGGATGATTCAATGGATGATTGCAAATTGCAATGGATGATTGGATGTGAATTGTTGGTTGTGGGTGATTGTGATGGATGATTGGATGGTTGTTTGGATGTGGATGATTGCAATGGATGGATGATTGATGAAATTGACGATCCTTGTTGGGAATTAGTCCATATTCGTTTTTTTGCAATGTGAAAAGATTGGATGGAAAAGAGAGATCCAATGCCGCAAGAGTGTCGCACAATTGCTCAGAGTGATTATGATTGTTGTTACATGTTGCAAATACTATTATTTTTGTTATTAATTGTTGTATTATTATTATTATTAGTAGTACTATTGTTGTGTAATAGGCTGATGTTATCACTATTTTCTTGCATTGAAGTAATTATTTTCGGGAGAGGAATGATTTGTGGAATGAGGATTGAAGCATATGATGATCTTATCCTACTCGGATGGTGGTTTGTTTAACGGTGATAGTGGATGGCGATCGGATCGGACTATGTAGCCTTGAGTGGAACAAGTTCGATTGTTTGATTGATTGTTTGATTGTGTGTAATTGTCTAAGTACAGTAGGATCATGTTCAAGTGGTGGTTTGTTTACGGTGATAATGGATGGCGGTCGGATCGGATTACATAGTCCTGAGTGGATCTGGTTTGTTTGTTTGGTTGATTGATTGATTGTGTATATTTGTTTAACAAGTGGAACCCGTAGCCGTGGCGCACAGCAACACTCGCTGATGGCGTCTCATTTTTCTTTCATGTCTCTCTTTCTCTCTCTCTCTCTCTCTCTCTCTCTCTCTCTCTCTCTCTCTCTCTCTCTCTCTC